TTTGAAAAATCACTAGCTCTGAGTTCAGCGTTATTCTAGAGTTGTGTTTTGGCGGTAATTTTATTTTTATTTTTCAAGTGACGTGATTTTAGAGAAGGAAATAGAGACCTTGGAGAGTGTGCTTGAATCGCAGTTCACTCAGTGCATCAGTGAACACTTGAAGCATCGCGACAAACGACGACGAGGACTCGGCTATGAGGGGTCAGACAGCGGCTTGCCAAAGAATGACAGCTTCAGCACCTTGGTTGACACCAAAACCGCTGCTAGCGTTGAAAATGGCGAATGCTGAAGCGCCGGTTAACGAACTGTTCTGCTGTAAAGTTTATAGGCTTTGTTTATTATATCCATAAACTTGAACTTGACTTGAACCGGTCATGTAAATAGAATTTGGTCATCGTGCACACAGTGGAGTCACTTTTGAAGTTTTGTATGAAATTTCTGTTCATTTAATTTGTTTTGTGAAATTTGCTACGTTGTGATATAAAGCTAAACTTGGTTGTGCTAATAGTAATGCCGTTCGCTAACTTACTGTGGTAGATTGGTATATTAAAATGGTGATACTGTTTACAGCACCTGTAAAATTAATTAATACATTGTTATTGTGCGTTTCATCCTTGTTTTAATATATAATATATTGGTAAAGCTACGCGATCAGAATATGACCTATATTGAACGTCTTGCAATGCCGCTTTTTTGAATCTATGCAGTAAATCTTGTCTAGTTGGCGAAGAAGAGGGAACGTTGGGAATATCTTCGTAGCTTCTGTTTTCGCGACCGAAACTGAATGTTGCATATCACCCGCCCCATTTGGTTTCAGATATATTGAAAACAAATGTTGCAAAAGTTTCAGCCCGCATGAACCGCAATAATGACTGCAGCTGCCATGAACAATGTAGGATGATATCTCTAAAGATATTTCGATTTTCCCTGAATACATGTTATAGCAATGCCGTTCATTTAGAAAGGATGTTGAAAATATTTATCGAAGGCTGAATATGCGCCCGTAAGCGTTTCTATAGGCGAACAAAGCAGAAAAAAGCACTTCGCTTCGATTGGTACATCTCTGCTCGAAAACACGGTTTAACGAAACGAAACAGCAGTGTAATACATCATTTGCTAAGATCCCATTCATCTACCGTGAAGCACGCTTGTTCTCTAAGAGTTCATGTGATCTTTAATCTTAATTCATATTTATGGTTTGCGAAATTTTATTTTATGCTCAGAATGCGGCTTCCTAAAACTCATGTTCTAGAATCATAAGCAGCCATTTAGGTAGGGGTTTCAATTTGACTTGTTTTCGTTAGTGGCTACGCCAGGTGCAAGACGACATTCGCCACTCATTTCGGTCTTGTGCCCTTTCCTTCCACCGCTGACTGAATTGTTTCGTCTTTGGGTTGTTCCAGCGACCGAGTAGACGTCTGTTGCCGAGCGGGATCCAAACGGATAACTCTGGATGTTCTTCAGACTAGCCGCATGATCAACCCATGATCTCTTCGAGTTGTAGACACTGAGTACATCCAAAAAGCGTGTCTGAGAAAAAAACTATCGCGCTTGGTTTCGAAGGGAGATCTTGCATATTTTTCTTTTCATCGACACATTCTTTTGTATTACTGCTAGTATTTTTTCCTCATTCTTGATGGTAGACCAGCACTCTGTACCATAAACAGTGGCGGTTTGAAAACCGCTGCCATTCGCTGTCTAGCAGCTATGTTTTCAGGTGATCGAAACTTGCCCATGCCGCCTTCCTTCTGCTTATCTCGCCGTTACTGGAGCCAATTATGTGGCTGAGATATACGTGCCTGGCGGCTTTTTTGCCATCAGTGAAGATGGTACTTAGGGCTCTGTGTTCGCTGCGCATCCATTTTGCCTTGGAGATTTTCGGCTCCAGACCGATGGCGCGTCACTCCTGCAATGGCACAGTCTTTGTTTGTAATTTCGCCGGGTCTTTGGCCAATATGATAATGTCCCTCCAGAGAGTAGGTTGTTGAGCAGTTTCAGTCTGTGTTAATGCCTCCGCTCCAGTTCACAAGATTTAAGAGAGATCCTAGCGCCGTTCACAAATGCTTAGGAATGATGGTGTCTCCTAGTTGTATTCCTCTTTTGATGTTCGTTCAACACCTTTGTGTCGTTTACGGTGTTAGTTTTCAGTTCCTAGCTCAGGTGGACGTCGACAGGGTTGATACCGAAGTTCAGTTCGACAGAATCGAAACGGAGTCAGTCAGTGAATGCGTGGCAAAGGAGGGAACTGCTATACCCTCCACTCTTTAAATAGTGGATAATCCTGGTCGGAAATCGGCTTGTTGTTTATTAGTGACTAGTTCAAAGTCTGCGGAAACGATTCCAGTAAACTCGTTGTAGACTTGTGACAGAGAAGTAATAAGTCGATAGTTTTTCAGGTGTTCAGCATCAGCTTTCATTAGTAGAAGAATCATCGAAGAGCTTTACCATGCTTCTCTCTTCAGCCTGATGTAGTCTAGAAATCGTTTGGCCGGCAAGGTTTTTGAGCAGAGTCATTCCTCACTTGCGATGTTCACGTTTTATGCCGTCTCTGCCACTTTTTATGATTGATTCATCTTGACTGATTCACTTGATTACCCAGTACTTCGTTTCATTAACATTGGTAACGTTTCCCAGCGAAACATTCTACAGTTTCCTGTTTACCTCTGCCTTCGAAGAATAGAGGTTGTTGAAGAAGATCAGGCAGATCGCTTTCATGCGACAGCGAGTAATCCTTATTTCTCCTTCGTCCTTTAGTGCTACCGAAATCCGTTTTTAGGTAGATGCCTTTTTTTGCGGCCTTAGGTCATTCTTCTTTAATGCGGCCTCCTATAGATTCGTTCTTCAGTACCTGCCATGACCTTTGCGTATTTTTCTCGTACTTCTTTGCAAAGGGCAATGTACTCGTCCTCCATTTCTCCATCGGCTTTCATTATGGCTCTTCTGGTCAACAGCTTTGTCGTTGCGGGCTGGTGCATTCTTTCCTCATCGGCATTGCAACGCGGCTGAATAGCCGAATTTTAGCTTTGGTGGTATCGATGAGGTGCTGGTAGTACGCATCGACGCCTCTGCTGAGTTCTGTTGTGATGTTCATCTGAAAACGTTCCTGCGAAATCTTCAAGATCGAATATTCGTCGAATTGCTGGTGGTCCTTCAGCCTTTCTAAGCTGATCTTTAGTGTTCTCGATTATGACTGTTAAACGGAATAGTCTGTGGTCTGACCTTGTGCAGATGGCGTTTTCTCCAATGACAGGCACGTCTGTTATTACCTTCCTCGTGTCCTTCAGCATTTAATGGATCTGGTTATGGGTCGTTCCATTAGGGATTTCTGGAACTGCCGCTTTTCGCTTTTTTCAGATGTGATATTTATGACAGCATTCATGTAGAGGCGGAAAAAGCCACGAAGCTTGAGCCACGTTTGTTTCGCTGTCAACTTCCAAACCGGTCGATGAAACGCTCTGTCTCGTTTCCTTTCCTACGTGGGCGATGAAATCGTCTTGGTCATTGTGTACGTATACGTCTTTTGCATGGCGTTTTCTTGTTCCTCGTAGAACTGCTCCGCTTCTTCATTGCCCTCTTGCTCTAGTCGGCAATAAACCTGGATTACCCGTAGAGGTTTTCTATTTTCTACCCACTGAATTCGTTCGGCGTTTCGAGGTTGCAGCTGTCTGCGCGCTGTACAGCCATTTTTTCATATGATAAATCTTAAATCACATAACCGAGCCCGGTTTTCTCACGCATTTCCGGTGAATATTTGATCACTCTTTTCCACTGTAAGATAATTTCCACATATCTTCAGGTTTCGCAACGCTGAGAACATCTGCATTGATCTTCTTCGCCCCTCAGTGATGTCGATGTCGATTAACTCATCCGAAGACATAGTTCTGGTGTTGTGGCTAGCTAGGAAGATCTTCGTGATCCCTTTTTCCATTTGCCAGTCGCATTTTTACAATCACCGGATCGCAAGTACTCCCAGTTTTTCACAAGCCGTCTCGGTAGCTGCACTAATGGCCCAGGTGTTTCTCCGTTCATATATTACGTGGATGACATCCAGACTGCACACCAATACTTCTCCACTAACGGTCTCCTACTGAACGCATCTAAAACTGTTGAATGGATTTGCATGGTGCGAAATACGAAGAATTCAACCGTTTTGGATCTCTCGTAACAACCTCATACAGTGGTGTGCAGTCTGGACACTTCATGTCAAACTATCAAATACTTTGGTGTCAGTTTCTCATCTGATCTCACCTGGCGTGGCACACCTATAGTCTCTTGAAGCCAGACGTTGTAGGACATCGTTCTACGTAAATCTGAAAAATCTCCGTCGTCACATGATGCCGTCTAAAAATTTGTCTTCGCATGTATTCCACCACTTTATACGTACGCATCAAGGTTTCTTTCCAGGCTTGCTGACGCGCAACTTCAAGGCGCAAAGATAATCACTAAGACAAGCCTCTAGAATAATCTACCTAATGATCTATTGAGGTACGGAGTTGATTTATCGGCCTGTAATGGCATTCGTGTGGGTAAGAACATCCTCGAGAAAAGCAATCATCCATTGTATGGCAGTGTCTCACAATGTTTTTTGCTAACCTATCTACTACATCCAAATATGTTAATAGTTTTTCCAGAAGTGTATCAGAGATCTCTAATCCCAGCTTCACTGCGCATCTGTAAATAACCATGGACGTTAACAATACTGATCGAATTTCCGCAATGTGACGTCCTTCTGCCTGTTTGCTGTATCATTTTTGCATCGTAGTTCCCAAGGCTCGAGTGAGATTCTATTTTGTGTCATGTGATATGCACATATTTTTCATGCATTTTCTATTTTGTAGAAAAACGAAACTCTAGTGATTCAATTCAAACAGTAAATTATTCAGTCAGTCTATTCGTGAATATTTTCGGTCAGCTCCGTTTGCAGTATATTCACGGTGATGAACATGGTGAAGTTCGTCCTCTACATTTTTTAATCAGCCTATCGAGATCGAGCAGGTACATGGTTGGTATACTCTTAGTCGCAATAATGTGCATTGACCAACGTCGGACCCCATTGTATCACTATACCTTAGTAAGCCCTTTGCGGTGTATCAGTAAGGCTACAGAACGGTTCAAATTGTAATAAGGAACCGTTCTGACGTTAAATAAAAATGGGAAAAAAATCCTCCGAGCCGGATTCGAACCAGCGACCTATGGATATCAGCAACTCTTCTACAGTCCACCGCTCTACCAACTGAGCTATCGGAGGCTGCTAAAAGTTTTCAACAACCAATATAAGATCAAGATTTATTATGAGATCTTGATAATCATTACAGTAACATCTTAACATAGCTTTTGTAAAATAAGCGACTAATATTTATCTGATTAGTTAAGGAAATTGCACAGTTTCAGTCCTCACGTAGGTAAGGTTGTGAAATATCCAAGCAGTAGATGGCATGCCTGATAACAATGCTAATGGAAACTCGTTGTTGCATTATGGCTATGCTGAAAAACAGCATATAGCACGGTTCGTTATTGCACCAGTGCAGAGAATAATATAGTCAGTCGAATGACCGTATTTCACATGCCTTTTTAAAAACAGGAGGTTAGTAAAGTTTTGGAGGTTTTTCTTGTTGTCTACAGCAATTGGTTGGTTTTGAGCAAGAAGGGGCCTTCGTTACCGACATCCTCTTTAAGCAAGGCGCATGAATCACAAGCTGAAACGCCGTAATGAACCGTGCTTTATCTTGATAGAGTGCCATCTGAACTAATAAAATGGTGTCGCATAGCTCTGAACCAAGGAAGCGCATTTATTATCGCGCAATACTGTAAACACGATATCGACCGGATGTGTAACATGCTCAGATCTATGTCACTAGCATGGGCAAAGCATGCATGAAAAGAAATAATACCGTAAACAGTTAAATTAAAGCGTAAATAAAGTTTCAATGGTACAAATTTCACAATACCGTGAATATGAAATGCAATACAAAAGCATTAATGGTTAATTCAGCCTAAGTGTGTTGTGATCTTTGAGGCATATCTATGTAGCTATAATAATGGACTACTACTTGGCGAGATAGTACAGACTAACAGGTTGACTTTGAACTCTGAAAACTCTAGGTTCGAATCTGCTAAAGGGACAGACTTTGGCTTTACCGCGAATTCCCTTGACAACGAAATTAACACCACATTACTTCGGCACAATCAGCGGAAAAACTGAGAGTAAGTAGGTGACTTGGAGAATAAGAGGGAAAGCATGATACTCTTGTCTCGTCATATCAGAAAGAACGAGACACACGACATCATACCCTCCGATACCAGTGCCCTTTCTTGCCTGTTTTTCGAACTGACGCATCTAATAGCTGATTATCCAGTGTAATAACCAGCGCAAGGTGAAGCGCAGATTTCGACTGTACCTGTAGCATCCCGTTTGTTAGCGCGCATAAACTGAATAAACGTTCCGTATGCAGTCTAGCGCAAACTTATCATGCAAAGGTTGCGCGTTGTTGTTCAGAACATTGTTCTCTATGCAAGCACCACCATTTGCAACCAGTTTTTTGACAAAACAAAACATACTGCTTGCGACTCTTGGGGTGGGGAGGGGTAGGGGTGTTTGAGTCGTTGCTGCTCCGGAACCAGCCTATGTTTTGCAGAAAGTTGTGGGGAAAAAACGTCTGACTGATATGCGCTGCGCTTTCATACAGTTCTGTCAGTCTGTTATTTAGTCTAGCCAATAAATCTGATGAAAATGGTTATGAAATCTGGTACATTGGTTTACTACTCCATTACAACCTTGATATATACTGGTTTCGGTTTTTTATCTATTCAATCAATTTTTTCGACGGTCGGCCACGGAGCACTTTTAAAGGGACATTTCCCCTGACATCACCCGTGTATGTACCAAATAAAAGTACAAGCAAAGCTTTGAGACAGAGGTTATGTTTAGTAATCACATATTCAATTCAAATTGTTATCTCTACATTTCAAAATGGTCTGATTTTATTCCCAGGATGCAGTTGAGCTCCAGCACTGACCGACTTGGTAATGACGTGAGTTTCTTTATTCTCTAACTAGGTGAGATATGATTAGAGAGTCCGTAGGTCAATAATCTGGCGTACAAATGTTTTCATTAAGAGCATGATTATGCGAGATTTTAAGATTATCACAACTTGCAGGGATTACGTGCTGAAAGTTTTACTAAAAGCACTATTTCTCCGCAGCCTTAAAAATTTTTTCGTTATCATTGTCATCATCCATCACCAACTGTCACTACTGACGTTGGATATTTTGAAAACGATATTCAGAATCTTCACAGCGATTCCAACAGGTTAACGTTCACTGGCCGACAAAGGCATTTATGTCATATTTTGCTGAAAACTTTCTGAAAGCAGACGAAGCAGTAATAAAGAGCTGTAGATTTTATCATGGAAGTCGCCTATTGAATATTTTTCCGACTGTGCTTTTTCTTATGCGAAATCCAGTTTATTTTTTAATCCTATTTCAACTGCTTGTAGAGTAATTCTTCTAAACAAAATTATCAAGATGATTTTACTGGGATAGCTCAGCAAAAGCTGATAATGAAAACACCATGTCACGCAGACGGTAGGCAAATTTTAGCATTATTCCATAAACTCTTTCTTTGCAATATGTATGGTTAAATGATTAGAAAACGTGCTTAATCATTTCGCCGATGCACTTTTTTCAGATCAAGTTTGATTGCTCGTAAAGAACTTAACCTACGCTTTCGCCTCCGTATCTGAATGAGCACACTGCTAGAGCCGACAGCCTTCACATGCATGCTTAATTGTTCTGACTAATTGTTGAATATTTTATCTGAGTATCAGTTGATCATCCTCAAAGCTGTTGGCCACCTATATGAAATTTTTTGAATTATGATTTGGAAGTGGTTGCTGCACAACTATTTGCTGAATTCGCCCCATTTGATTATAAAGGTATCGTTGCATATCAGTAGGCCTGACGATGCAGTGCAAAACTCATTTGGCTTTGAAATTCTAATACCGGATTTTGGTGCCCTTAATCACAAATAATAGATTTTCAACAGTTCCAGTATGGAACCGATAACAGAGAACCCTGAATGAGATTTTAATACGTTTACGTATCCTTAGGAAAATTTGAAGAAGTATCAAAATTAATACAACTTTACAATCTATTACGATACTGTAATATTGCTGTGCGAGAAGTTTGCTCGTATCTTGTGTTTGGCGTTAGATTAAAGATGTCTTCAAGTGACGAAATTGAAACATATCGTCTTTGGCGGATCCGCAAAACAGTTATGCAGGTAAAACATAAATTTGTTTTGAATTTATTGTATTTTATTGCATTGCAGATGTGTCATGACCGAGGGTATCTTGTGACTCAAATGGAACTTGATCAGACATTGGAACAGTTCAAGCAACAGTTCGGAGATGCTCCCAGTGAGCGAAGACCGGCACGCAGTGACCTGACGATTCTTGTGGCGCATAATGACGATCCGACAGGTTTGGCGGATATTAGGTGTTCTGTGCTCTGCGCTTAGCTCGTATTTGGAATATTTTGTTCATATGCTGCTAACCATACTGAAAAACAATTTTTCGTTAAGTATTAGTTTTCAGATCAGGCCTTCGTATTTTTCCCCGAGGAGAAGCGGATCGGCATTAAGATCATCAAAGCCTATTGCCTACGTATGCAGGAGGAAAACATCAGCAGGGCCATCTTGGTGGTGCAAGAAGGAATTACACCATCTGCAAAACAGGTACTTTGTACTTCAGGAAGATGTTCATAACGTGTTATTTGGGATCATTTGTATATTTCGTATGGTACTTCGAGGAGTAAACGCAGTCATTTTCTCTGTTATCATAGCATCTGAGGAGAATATGTAATTTCGGGACATTTTATTTATCCAGTTGGCAGCCAGGGCGATGAAACTGGCCAAAGTTTCGAACAACGTTGTACTTGCTTTCTACGGGGTATGCTTAGCTATCTTTTTCGATATTGTATTATATTATTTCAGTTATTGCTCGATAAGCAGCAAGACAAATTTTCTAGTACTTTGCGGTTATATGGCTTTGATTTAAAATTATTTAATTCGGTTAATAAAAACTGAAGGTGAAGGTGAAACGCATCCCCAAAAGTAATCATTCAGATTTTAAGCACTACTAAGCAGAGAATATGTAGCTATTTTGACTGAAGGAATTCGATGAAATTGCAAAAATTGCTGTTAGATTCTCCATTGATTTTCCAAAAATATAAAATGCATTTTAATCCTTTGCAAGAAACATTTTGTTCAAAAATACAAACAGAAGCAGTTTTTCTCTTTCTTCTTTTCTTTCCGTTTTCTTCTGTGTAGTTATCTCTTTTGCTAAATGTCATCATCATCTTCCATCGCCGCTTCTCCTTTCGGCTCGCGGAGGCAGACGCGTCAGACAATGCTTCCAACGTTCCCGATCCTGTGCCAGAGTCTGAGCTTCGGCA